CATGCTTTCTTCCTAGGTCTAAAGCCCCCTGTGGAAGGGGAGAATTGCTAAGCACCCTGTATAGTTGCCTCACCTGTCCCAACCACTTTGTACATAAATATGTCACATATATTATATATATAAATATATATATAATTTTTGTACGTCCTTTTCATCTCCAATCTTCTTGAGTTCTCTGTTCATTTCTTTCCGTTCCAAGTTACTCTTTCCATTTACCGGTGTGAGGCCTCAGGACTAGTGATCATAATGAAGTGTGGTTTGTAGGGAATACGTAGAAGAGATAGGAAAATTAGGCCTCCATTGCCCTCCTCCATGTCCATTTCCCAGAACTATGAAAACAAGCAACCAAATAATTTCCTGAGCTGGCTGCCCTTTTCCACACTATGGAATTCCATAACTTTGTTAACAAGGAAAAGCATTTTTCAAAATAAGTTCAGATATTCTTGATGAAAAGTTGGATTTTGGTTGTATTCTCTCCAAAAGATGGTTTTGTGTAAGGTCTAAACAAAGGAACTTGTCAACTTCCATCATCTGCTCAGGTGTCCCCACCCCATCAGTCCTGCTTCCTCAATCAGCTTGACTGTTTTGAATGGTTTTAGTCCTACCTCTGAAATAGAGTCTGCTCTGAACTAAGAAATTACCTCTCAGATTTGAAACCCTAGATACCTTTTGTTTTTTGGCTAAAGGATGATTTTTGTTTCTTTGTTTGAGCATCCCCCAGGTGCTGCAGAGGGGCAAGGAGAGTGCTACTGTGGGAGAAATAAGATTGGGGATTTCTCTCTTACCCACTTCCTTTTCCCTTTGCTGCTCTGGGAGCAATAAAAGAGTTTCCCTGTATGGATGGGAATGGGGAGAAAGCCAAGTGGCTTAACAGTTGTTGAGTATGGAGCAGAACCATGGGGTGGGGAGAAGTATGGGGCTGGATATTTTTTCCCCTGTTACTTGACAGTGTTTTTATTTTTTCTTCTGTGTTCGTCCGCAGTGGCCAAGTTGAATGATGCTTCCCGGGGCTCCCGACAGATCCTGAGACGCTGCCCCCCCTGGGTCCTGTGCTGGCTCCTGCCCCTCCTTGCCTTAGTGGCTAGGGGGTCAGGAGGTGGCCTGGGTGCGGGCCGGAGAGGCAGAAGCCCCTGCCCGACGGTGTCCCAGCGCATGGAGCCCCTCGGGTTGAGCACCAAGACCTTGAATCTTTTTTTTGTGTTTTATTTTTCCAAACATCTGCTGGGAAAAATCTCTATGAAATCCTGGTGTGGGGTTGAGAGGGTGGGGTTGGGTGGGGGGAATATGGGGTAATATGAATTGGGGCTTGGAGCAAAAAAAAAAAATTGCTGACTACCCTTTTTCTGTAGCCCTTGGTGATGGCTGGGTGTGGGGGTTGCTATACGGAAAACGGACTGAAGATGGAAGGATCAGTCCAGTTCCACAGAAAAATGCCTTGTGTGCTGGGATTGGTGCCAGGTGATTTAGTGTCAGGTAAATGGGACTGTCCATCCAGATCTGTTGGCTGCAAATGCAGCTCCCTTGTTTCTGTAAAGCAGGCTGGGAAATTGAACTCTAATGTACTTAATTGTCTTTGAGGATTGCTGGCCCTTTAAAGTAGAGCTACTGTGGGAATTGGGGCTGTGAGTTTGGGAGGGAGGCATAAATGTATGGGGAGCCCCAAAGAGCCTAGGGAACTTTTTCAGTATTTGAAATAAAAAAAAAAACACCCACAAAAAACCCCCCCAGAAGTCCTCTGAAGCTGCTGGTGTGTTTTATTGAGGGGGGAGAAAGTAAGACCATATAGAGACCTTCAAAGGGAAAGCGGGTCTAGAATCTTGGACGGGCATGGAGCAGGGATACCTCAATAAGGTCTGGGTGGGGTCCCAGCTTCTGTTGCTGAGGGGTGGGGTAAGGAATGGAATAGGCACCTAGCTGAATAGTCTAAAGCTTTTCCTAGCCTACCAGTGGTTCTGTCTTTGTTTTCTGTGGCAGGTATGGGACAGCCAAATCAGTCATCTGACCATCGTGGGTAGTAGCTTACAAAATCATGGATTCAGGGTTCTAAGGATTTTCATGGCCCCATTTCAAAGTTCTAATAGGTTGAACATAAAAGAAAAGGAAGCCCCACCCACCTCCTTTCCCTTTGAGTTTTTCTAGTTCCTGCTCCAGTTCTCATTGTGAGAGCTGAAGCCTTTCTGCTTGTGACCCTCAAGGATCTGGAGACTATTCTCCCAAAGCTGTCCCAAACCTAACCTGGCAGGCTGCCACTTAAGAGCCCAGAAGCTGCCTCATGATGTCAGTTAAACTCTTCAAGGTACACACCCCACCCCCAGCTGATTTTACCTGAACTAGCATGTTTTGCCGGTATTTGGTAGGGATAGGTGATAGTCATGTTTTCTTTACCTTTTTTTTTTTTTTTTGGTAAGGCAGTGGGTGAAGTGACTTGCCCAGGGTCACATAGCTAGTTAGTGTCAAGTGTCTGAGACCAAATTTGAACTCGGGTCTTCCTGAATCCAGGGCTGGTGCTCTATCCACCTGTGCCACCTAGCTGCCCCAATAGTCTTGTTTTCTAAGGTATGATTAAAGCATGTAGGAAGAATATGGTTGAAAGTGAAGTGAAGTAACATCTCCTGCATGGGAGAAAATGAACTACTAGGCAGAAAGGTCATTCTTTCGAGTCAGCTAGGTTGTTACCCAGCCAAAGGGTTTCCAGATGAATGAGTTCTCTTCTAGGAGCCTGGCTTTTGCATCTGCAGAGAAAGTGAATGCTCAGGCATCTCCCATCTCGTTCAATGCAGTTAATACCAACTGGATAACAAATATGTGCTATGGACTGTTGGCAGTAATAAGATGAGTAATTCACAGTCTCTGCCCTAAAGGCAGTTATAGAGTCAGGGTGGGGAGCAGGTAGGAGAAGAAACAAAACATTCAGCTATAATACCAAGCAGAATGTAATTAAGTAAGATAGGATCTAAGTGCCACAAAATGCTCTATGGTATAGGACAGGGCATATTTTGTTGTGGATAAAGGGGAAGTTTTCACAAAGTGGCCTTTGAGATGCCCTTCAAAAACATTAGTCACCTGTGTGCCTCTGCCCACTGATAGGAACTGGGGGGAGTTACCACTTAGGGAAGACAGAGTCCCTGCTTTCATGGAGCTTCAAATCTAGTCAGGGATCTGACATGTACAAGTTAATGATGTTGCAAATTAAATACATTGAAGAAATATGAAGAGGTGGGGTGGAGGGGGAAGATCTGGGGGTCTGAGAGAGATGGCATTAGTGATGATGGGGTTGAAAGGATGCTAAAACAGGCATAGTGATGAAGAGCATGAAACAGCCTAGCAGCAAAGTACAGAACATATTTCACATCAAAGAAGCCCAGTTTAGAGCAGGTAGAGGGGATTGTGAGCTACAGTGAGAAGGTAAGTGCCAAATTAATGCCAGGAAGAGGAATTTGAACTTGTAGGCAGTGGAGAGCCACTGAAGATATTTTGGTAGCATGCTGACTAGATTTAGGCAGGAAGGAAATTATTCTGGCAGTGATGTGGGGGATGGATTGGAGGAGATAGGTGGGAAGATATGTTAGGTGGCTCCTACACTGGTACATATGGGTAATAATGGGGTCCTGTTAATAGGGTGATCACAGTGGGAATAGGGGAGGTGAATGAGAAAATTGCAACGGTGAAATCTATCGAACATGGTCACGGGTTAGACAAGAGAAAGAAGAAGCACAGATAACATACTGCTTGGAACATGGAACACAAATGATTCAAAAACAAAATCAGAAGGACCAGGTTCTGAGGGAGAGATTGGTTTTGTACATGTTGAGTTAATAGGTGATGGTGAGAAATCCAAGAGATGGCCTGTAGCTACCATTTGTATATGGTGTTTTCAAGTTTTACATTATCAGAAGTGGGATTTTACTTGGGCTGAGTTCATTCAGAGGGCGTGTGCAAAGGGTTGTTGTTATGTCAAGTGCAGGGCACAGCTTGCTTGCTGGGCCTTAGCTCTGGAAAATGGTGTCTCCTAATAGCATAAAAAAACAAAACAGGAGGGATGGCCTTGGCACAGGAATCCTGAAATTTCTGCCTTTTCACCAAAAGGAGGGACTTTAAAAGAATTCCTCCAATTCTGGCTGATAAAGTTGAGGTAGGTATAAGCCAAGAAACCATGAGAGGCCAGTTGACAACTGAAGCAAATAGGTTAAGTGATTTGTCTAGGGTTACACAATTAGTGTCAGGCCAGATTTGAACTTGGATCTTATTTCAGGTCTAGCTCTTAACTATACACCCAAGTGCCTGTAGGCAGGTTGGAGGTGCAGCTCTGGAGCTTAGAAAAGAAGGGCTAGAGATTTAAATTTGTCATTTGCATGGAGATGGTAGTTGACAAGAGAAAAGGATATTGCCAAAGAGAAAAATGGGAAAGGCTAAGTGCAGAACCTTAGAGAACCCTTACCTTAGAGAGAAGATAGAGTGAGTGGGAAAGTGAAGAAGTGATCGGTTGAAGATAAGGGATGAAAAAGGCAATTAGATTTAGCAGTTAGGTTACTGGTAACATTTAAGAAGCAACTGTAGAGGGGGCAGCTAGGTGGCGCAGTGGATAGAGGACTGGCCCTGGATTCAGGAGGACCTGAGTTCAAATGCGGCCTCAGACACATAACACTTACTAGCTGTGTGACCCTGGGCAAGTCACTTAACCCCACTGCTTTAAAAAAAAAGGCAATTGTAGAGTAGTGGGCTGGAAGCCAGAGTACAGGAAGTTCAGGAACATATTATAAAGAAACTAGAAGTCTTGAAGAATGTGTAGCGTTTGGAAACAAAGATGGGAGAAGGAAGGTGACCATTCCAGGTGGCACTGACACCATCCTTAAGAGGCAAGCGAGATGGTACAGTGGAAAGAGTGCTGAATCTGGAGTCAAGAAGGCATAAGTTCATATATGACTATAAGATACTAGCTGTGTGACCCTGGGCAAGTCATGACCTCTGCCTTAGTTTCTTCATCTGTAGAATGGGGATGATAGTAGCACCTACCTCCAAGAGTTTGCAAGGCTCAAATGAGATCTTTATTAAACACTTTGAAACCTTAAAGTACTGTGTAGACATTAGCTATTCTTATCTTCAAAACAGCCCCCTAAGATAGCAAGCATGAGTACCTCCTATCTGTGACAGATTTGGTCAGCAAAGCTATAGAAGTGAGAAATGGTAAAATATCAGTGTTTGAAAAATATAGTTGTCAGGATGGCTCCAGTATTGGGTAGTCAAGGAAAATAGTTGGTGTTATAGGTGGAAAGACTTACTGAGGACACAGTTATGAGTGAATGTCCTCTAATGCCAGACTGAGAAGTTACAGTGCTATCTACCCTAAGAGAAGTCAAGTAAATATAGGAAATCCTATATTAAGTGCTGTGGGAGATCTATGAAAGAAACTCAGTCCATGCCTTTGAGCCCAAAAACCAGATGAGAAAAGACAATACAAGTAAGAGCCTAAAGGACATTTAGCCAAGCAATGTTAGTGTGCAAATTAACAGAATCTTAAAATTTTCATGAGTTGAAAATACATTGCAGTGCGAAGGGAGGGATCAGGGGAAGTTCATTAACATTCATTACCATTCCCGAAGCCCTGTTCCAGTCTGAACTAGTCCCATAACTTTTTAGTCTTGTCAGGTGTGACTGTTAGTGGCACATTTCAAACTATCTAGGGAATGATATCAGTAAAGGTGAAGGCAGGTGGCAGGGAAATTCCTTCCAAACTTCTGGGCCTTATTCATTCAAGAAACCTTTAGCACCATGTATAAACACTGAGGAAGCAAAAAAGCTAAATTGATCCCAAGAAGCTCATATGCTAGTAAGGGACCTAAGACACTAATGACTATAATAAAACATGAGTGCCAATAAGGGGTGCAAACTGCTATGCAACATTCAAAGAAGGAAATTTCCAACTGGGATGAAACAAGGAAGACTGCAGGGAAGGGGCAGCATTTGAGTCAAAGGGAGGCAGGATTTCAGTAGGCGGAGATGCAAGGCGAGCCAGGCCTAGGTGACTGAACAAATGCACAGATTTCGGAATCATAAATTAAGTGAGTGTGTGAAACCAGGCAATGCTCATTTTTGTTGGAGCATAATTGAAAAGAAAGAGGTAAGATAAGTCTGCAAAGCCCAGTTGGAGACAAACTGGAGGACCTCTAATGCCAAGATGAAGAGTTTAGACTTCATTTGGTGGGCAGAGAAGGAGCCAACAAAGATTTTGAGTGGTGGAATGGTTTGATCTGTGGATAAGATATACACACATTTTGAAGTGTAAGGGAAGGAAAATTGAAGAAACTAAGTTTAAATGACCTCATCCTCCGCTGAGTAGTCAAGAACGTAGAGTGGGGAGAGAAGGTGGTTAGGTTCCTTTAGAGACAAGGAAAAGGTCTGAAATGAGAAAGGTGACTGGGTGTTAAGAGTCCAAGACTAAAGGAACTGGGGACTCAGAATAGATAGGACTCAAGGTGAGATACCATGGATTTATTTTTTTGGTCCAGAGCTCTAGGGACTTCCTAGTACAGAAGCTTTCTTCACTGATGTAGTTGGTAACTCCTCTGTAAATGACAGTGGTCTGGGGCTGTTGAAAGACTGAGTGATTTGCCCATGGTCACACAGCTATAGTAACAGAAGCAAGACTGAAACCCAGACCTTCCCGAACAAAAGGTCATCGTCTCTTTATCAATTACACCACCCTGTCTCTACTCTGAATAGTTAATGGATGAAATTTATTTAGTTTTGCCTCCTAGCAATAATTGGTATTTGGATTCTGGAAGGTTGTGGGGAGTACGTGGGGAGGACTCTAAAATGACAGTCAAGGGAGTAAGGAATTCTTTATCTTGGGTCAAATAAAATCATTATAGCCCTAGAAAACGGGAAAGTGGATCTGTTTGTTTTTAAATTACTACACATCTGCTATGTGAAAGGCACTTATGCCCAAGAGTACAAAGAAACATTTTCTACCCTCAGGGAGTGTACAACCTACCGGAGACCAAAATAATGGTGAAAACAGACAGTTGATTAATAGATGACGTTATTTTTTTAAGTTTTTTATTGTTTTTTTTTTTACACCACCATAATTTCTCCCAGTATCCTTCCTCCTCAGACGGCTATCTCATATAAAAGAGTATTTTTAAAACAAAGAGTAGGAAGGAAAATCAACATAACAACAGTATATTGAAAGTCTAAAAATAATGTACAATATACACTTGTAGACCACCCCACCACTGCAGAGGGATGGGATGGATGACATTATGAAGAGGGCTGTGTTGTCCTTGGGAAAGCCTAGTAGAGTTTTGGGTAAAGATGAGTGTTTAGAATGGAGCATGGTAGAGTGGTAACAGCACTAGAGAAATAGAGAGGAGAGACCTAGTTTCAGAGGCCAACTTTGATACCAGCTGTGTGATCGTAAGTAAGTCACTTTAAACCTCTCTTACCTTCAGGTGCTTCATCCGTAAACGTAAGATCTGTGACTTCTGAGGACCTGCTGATATGGGGGAATCCTCCACCGTAAGAGGTATCAAATCTATGACAAGTAGATCCTGAGGATTTGGTATGAGTTCTGAGAGGTTGCGACTTGTGTAGAATCATGCCATTTCTGGTTACAGTGTTCATGCCCCTAATGTTACCTGTCTTCATCTGTAAAGTGGAGAAAATACCTGTAGTACTTACCTCACAGGGTTCTTGGGATTATCAAATGAGATAGTGTATAACTCTTAAAAGTACAATGTTAAAGAATTTGCCTGATGCAGCTAAAGACCTACCCTTGGAGTCAAGAAGATCTGAGTTCAGGTTCTTCAGGCACAAACTATGTGACTGGGTAATTTTTTAAGACAATAATTTACAGATGAGTGGCTGGTTTGCATCTACAGAAGAATTTTACACACTGGAAGTTACTCAAAGTGACAGGTCAAGAAAAGGAGGGAGAATATACTATATTGCAGAAGAAGTAAGTCTGAGGTGGTAGAATTTTGTTGAGGGAAGAGTCAAGAGATCATCCAGTCCCAGAGTTCAAGTTAGAATACTTGCCAGATGGAACTTTGACTTCAGTATATATCTGCACACATGTAGTTCTGAGGTGATTGTGGTAGAAAGGGTCCTCTTCTCAGGTGGCTTACACAAAGAACCAGACTAATGAACTCATGTCAGAGTGTTCTGGCTTCTTTCTTGGAGGAAAAAAAAAATCTCTGTAATTCCAGTTTAATAACTACTTTTGGCTTTTATCAGTTTTAAGGTGATAAGGAGGTGAGGGAAGAAGTTTTGCCCCTTTAAACCGTTCTGGCAAAGAAGCTTCAGAGGATTGGCCAAGGAATAGGGAAAGACCATCCCAGAATGATCAGCCTCCACTTTGGAGCCTGTGGCAGTACAGGGGCACTCACAGCTCCAGACAGAAAGTGTGGCCTTGGCAGAACAACATCTGAATGAATCAGTCTTCCTCTGAACCAGGTCATATAGGCTTGTTAGGTAAACTGTCAACATCTGACTTTTTTTTTTTTATCAAACTATAAAAACTGAAGTCTAGTGACAAGAGTCCTTTCATAACTCACATCTGGTTGTGACACTGATTTGAATTTTGCTCTGATTTGTATGCCATAGTATAAGTTGAAATTAGATAGTACTTGAAATGTTATTATGTAATAAAAATGATATTTTTATAGAAAAGGCAGAAGTGAGTGGGTTGTATGCTTTTCTCAGTCATCCACAGCTAAGGAATCAATCACCAAGTGTTTATTCGAAGCTTATTCTATGCCAGGTATTGGGGATCTAGAGACAAAACATGAAACAGTTGCTGCTGTCAGGAACTTTCATTCTATCAAGTTCGGAAATCGTGTCTACCCACAGGAAAGCACAGACTATAGTACAAGGTATTTTGAGGAGGAGCAGCACTAGCCGCCAGGGGAAATCAGAAAGGCTTTACCTAGCTGTGGTGCTTGAGCTAGGCTTTGAAGGGTGCTGCAGATTCTAAAAGGGGGCGATGAGGAGACAGCTCATTCGAGGATGAGGACAGTCTGTGTAAAGGGAGAGCAAAGATGAGAGATGAAATGTCATGCTTGAGAACCAGCAAGAAAACCAGTTTGGCCAAACTGCAGGGCCCAACCCAATGGGAGAATAATGTAGGGCAGAGGTGTCAAACTTGAGGCCCTCCAAACTCCTGAGTGAGGCCTGAACCAGATTAAAATGCAATGGGGAAAAGGTTAACAAAATAAATAAAACAGAGTAAAACACAGATAATGTTAATTTGTGCTTTTCTAAGTCAATATGTAACTTGCTGGGATCTGTTTCTATCTGACTAATGCCACAGATGTAGAGTAAACTTGCAAAGACAGGTTGGAGCTAGGTTGTGAAGGGCCTTCAGTGCCAAAGAGGAGTTTGGACTTGATCCTAAAGGCAACAGGGAACCACTGGATTAATTATGCAGGAGACTGGCAGCTATGCAGAGGGTGGATTGGAAAGGGGAGAGACTGATGAGGAAGCTATTAGGACAGTCCAGGTGAGAGCTGATGAGGCCTGACCTAGGATGGTGACTGTGTGAGTGAAAGGAAGGAAGCAAATGCAGGAGATGTTGTGGAGGTAGAATCAACTAGCCTTGGCAGCTGAATGGCTGTGTGGGTGAGGAGGCATAAAGAGTCATTAATGATGCCAAAATTGCAAACTTCTGTGACTGGGAGTATGGTGGTACCCTCAAGAGAAATGGGGAAATGAGGAGGAGAGGGGTTTAGGGGATAGATGATGAGTTCTGTTTTGGACATGTTGAGTTTGGGGTGCCTGTGGGACATCCAGTTTGAAATGTCCAGTAGGCAGTCGGTCATGCAGAATTGGTTGTATAGTCTCCCCCATCCTTAAAAACTTCACTAGATCCTACCATACTCATCAACTCTCATCCTAAATCTGTTCTCTTTTTCTTAGCTAAACTTCCTGAAAAAGTCATCTACACTAGGTCCCTTGACTTCTCTCACTGTCCTTTAAACCCTCTGCCTTCTAATCTCATCATTCAACTGAAACAAGTTACCAGTAATCTCTTAATTGCCAGATCTAATGCCCTGTTTTTAATCCTCTCTTCTTAACCTCTTGATTTGTCATTTGACACTATTGATCACCTTCTCTGGGATTCTTTCTCTTTGGGCTTTTGTGACTGTTCTCTCCTGGTTCTCCTAACTGCCTAACCATTTCTTCTCAGTCTTTTTTTCTGGACCTTTATCCATACTATGGATAACCATGAGTGTGTCCTAAGGCTCTGTCCTTGGCTTTCTTCAATTTTCTTTCTATACTTTCCTTTTGTGATCTCATCAACTCTCCTGGTTCAGTTATCTCTGTCCAAAGATGGTCTTTTTTCTTGAGCTTCAGTCTTGCAACCAGCTGCCTGTTGGACATTTCAGACTGGATGTCTGGTAAGCATCTCAAACTCAACATGCCCCAAACAGTACTGGTTATCTTTCTCTCCAAACCTTCTCCTCTTCTAAACTTCCCTATAACTATTGAGGATACCACTGTTCTCTAGGTTCATTCCCTTGATGTCATCCTCAAATCCTTTCACTCACCCTACGTAGCCAATCAGTTGCTAAGTCTTGTATTTCTTCCTCTAGAACATGTCTTGCATATAGCCCCTTCTCCCCACTCACAGCCACTAGCTTTTTTCAAACACTGGTCACTTACGTATTGACTATACTATTTCAATAGCTTTCTAATTGGTCTGTGTCTCAAGTCTATCTACCTGATAATCCATCCTCCACTTAACTGCCAGCAAATTTCCTGAAGCATAGGTATGATCATGTCACTCCTCTCTCCTAAGCAATAAACTGGAGTGGCTCCCTATTTCCTAAATTCCTTTGTTTGGCATTCAAAGCAACATTTCCCTTTCTTCTCTAATCTTTTTACATTCTGTTCTGACTACAGTTGAGCCACACTGGCCCACTCGCTTTTCCTGATACACACCTGATATATATCTCCCTACCAAGCCTTTACACCAGCTGTTCCCCTTTCCTGGAAAGGTCTGCCTCCTACCCTCTGACCCTTAGAATCCCTGGCTTTCTGTAAGACAGCTCAAATGCCATCTCCTCCAGGATGCCTTTCTGGTCCCCCTAGCTGCTAATTCTGTTCTCTCAGGTTACTTTCCACCAGCTCTACTTAATCTTGTATGTCCTGATTTATACATGTGGTCTCACCCATTAGAATGTAAGTTCCTTGAAAATGGTATTTTTGCTCTTTCTTTGTATTGTCAATACACAGTGTCTGGAGCATAATAAGTGCTTAATAAATGGTTGATTGATTGAGCACGTGGGAATTGATGAAATCACCAATAGAAAGAGGAGAGAGAAGAGGGTTTAGATGCTCACAATTACAGGGATCTTACGTAAGATGATCCAGCAAAGGAGACTGAGAAACAGTGAAGACTGAAAGAAGAACTAAAAAGAGAATAGTGTCATGAAAACCCAGAAAAGAAAAATTATCAAGGAGGAAGGGTTGGTTGATAATGTCAAATGAAAGAGGTTAAGGATGAGGACTGTGAAAAGGACACTGGATTTTTCCATCCCTTCTCCAGTCTATCCTTCACATAGCTCCCAAAGTGATATTCCTAAAGACCATTTACCTCGGATGGAGAGAGCCATTGAGGGATCACTTCAGAAGCCAGATTTCAAGGGAATCAAAGCCCCAGAACAAGATCCTAACTCCTGGTTTCCTTTATAGGCCTTGCCCCATTCAGCAGCCCTAGAGAAGATCCTATCTCCCAACTTCCATGGCCTGCCTATAGGACCTGCTACAGTGCTGGATCCAGACAACCAGATCCACACAAAACCTAATCACCTACTTCTGGCCTTAGTGGCCTCTAGGGCCTTTTCCTTCTCCAGGGCCTGCCCTAGAGCACAAGATCTCCACTTTCTCACCCTGAGGACGTTCTCCAGCACAGGTCAAGCACTACCACCTCTTAGTTCCTATACCTCTTCCTGCTCTGGTCTGCTATAAAACGGTTCTTCAGCCTCACAAGGCACAACATCACCATGTATCACATGGTTGTGCTTTCAAGCAAAGGCCTTGGAAAATATAATCATGTCCCTCTGTCAGTGGCCTTCTCTCCAACCATTCATATTCTTCCTGGACTCCTCAGTGGTTAGCATATTTCCACCTTCTTCTGCTTTCACCATAACAATGTTATGAATACAATATCCAAACCCCATTACCCATCCCCAACTGTGTACTCCTCTACTCCCATCCACTTCATCCCAAACCCTCCAGTGTCCCACTCCAGATTTATTTGGCACTTCCTCTGTGTCCTCTGGGATGCCTCCATAAATGACAAACCTTTTTCATCACAAACCTGTTCTTTTCCTACTGCTTGCATCTTCTGGCACTCATTGAGCCCTACCCCCCCCCCCCATAAAACTGCTTCTCTCACCACCTTTTCCAGTACAGTTCACACTTTCACTCAAAGCCTGACTCACTGGTCAGGTAGGGGTCGGAATACTCCTTGCTCCTGATTGCTACTTCTAGAATCTCTACCACCATCACTCAGCAAGCCCTAGTCCTTTGAGGTTTATATTATCTGAATATCACCTAGTCCTGATCCTGGTGGCCATTATTTATTGAATTCCCCACCCTCCAAGAGATGGTCTTTTCCTCAGGGAGTTCGATACCTGACTTACAGCTTTTCTCTCCATCCCAGCACCAACCCTAATACACTTTAACAACTTCAACTACCTTAACTTCTCAGTTTCTTAATCTATTCAATTTATACAACCTACTGCTCCACTCCACATCAGCTAATCACAGAAACATCCATATCATTGATCTTTCCATCACTCACAAGTATACCATGTTCATGAAATTTAAAATTAATTTATCTGATCATAATCCTGTTTTGTTTCACCTTTCTCTATGTCTTATGACTCTTGGTTCTCTGTTTTCACCATGACCTTCCTTAGCCCCTCAGTAATTTCCTAAGCCATCACCCCTTCACTGGCTACACTGTTCTCTCCCCAAGCTCAATCCCTTGATGAACCAATTGAACTCTGCACTATCCCCTATTCTCAAATTCCCTTCCCCCCCAACCTTGTTCTGTCAGTGGTCACACCTGCCTAAACCCAATCCTGGATTTCTCATCATCTGTTTCTGATTCTCTAATTCGTGTACTACTGAGCAGAACTGGAAGAAATCACAAAACCATGATGATTGGGCCCACTGAAAATTTATATTATCTGCTTTCAACTGGGCCCAACTTCAGCAAGGCAAGTATTCTACTCTTCTCTAATTGATTGGCTACTCTATTCTTCATAGCAGTTGCTGTAACCCATATCTCTTTGCAAGCCTCCCGTGGCACCCCATACTCTTACCCTTTCTTCTGAAGTCCTTGCCTCCCTTTTCCTTCTCCCCTCCTTACCTTATATCACTGAGACATCTCCCACCAACTATTCCTTCCAGTCTTGAAGAAGTGACCCTTCTCCTTTCCAAGGTCAGCTTCTCTATGTATACCAGTGATCCCATCCCCACTCATCTTTTTCAGCAGATTGCTTCCACTATTATCTCCATTCTGTCTTAATTTATCCTTGGTCTCTATCTACTGGCTCCTTCCTTGCTACCAAAAACACTCCCATATCACCCTCATTCTTTAAAAAAAAAAACAACCCTCACTTGATCCTGCCATAGTCACTGGCTATTGTCCTATATATTTTTTCTCCTTAGCTAAATTCCTTGAAAAAGCTATCTCTAGTAGGTACCTTCACTGCTTCTTCTCTCACTTTGTTCTAGGGTCTGTTCTCATTCAACTGAAACTTCTCCAGACTTACCAAATTGCAAATCTCAATTGCCAAATCGAATGACCATTTTTCAATTCACATCCTTGACCTTCGTGGATTTGTCATTTGACGCTATCAATCATCGTCTCCTCCTGGATACTTCCTTCTTCTCTGTAGGTTTTCAGGACACTGCTCTTTTCTGTTTCTCCTCCTATCTTCCTGACTTCTTAATCTTCCCAAGGCTCTGTGCTGAGCCTTCTCTTTTCCTTCTTTACTATCTCACTTGGTGATCTAATCAATACCCATATTTATCATTTCTCTGCATATGATTCCCAAATCTGTATAACCAGCCCTTGTCTCTCTGCTGAGCTCCAGTTTCCCATCACCCACTGCCTTCTGGACAGTTCAAATTGGATGGCTCATAGGCATCTCAGACTCAACATTCTCAAAACAGAATCATTATCTTCCCTCTCCCCTGACTCTTAACCCCCCCGCCAAAAAAAAATCCTCCCTTTTTCTGAACTTTTTTGTTACTGTCAAGGGCACCACCACCATCCTCCCAGTCACCCAGGCTTGCAGTCTTGGTGTCATCTTAAATTTCTTTCTCATCCACATATCCAATCCTTTTCTAAACTTTGTCATGTCTACCTTCACAGTGTGTCTTGCATACATTCCCCTTCTTTCCATTCACACAACCATCACCCTAGTTTAGAACCTCATCACCTTTCTGCCAGACTATTGAAATAATTCATCTCACTGCCATAGGTCTATCTCCATTCCAATCCAACCCCACCCCCAACGCAGCTGTCAAAGCAATTTTCTTAAAGTAGAAGTCTGGCCATGGGAATCCCTCCCCACTCAGTAAACTCCCATGGCTCCCTATTAAAGTTCTGTTTGGCATTTAAAACCCTTCACAACTTGGCCCCTTCCTCCCTTTCCAGTCTTCATAACCTTGACTCCGTTTGTCACATTAAGGTGAGGCCACTGGCCTGATTGCCCTGTCTCAGACATAACACTCTGTCTCCCAACTCTGCCTTTTCACAGGTTACCCCTGGAATATTCTCTATCCTCATCTCCCAGTCTTAGTTTCCCCTGTCTGGAGGCACAAGAAATGTAAGCTCCTTGAGGGCACGAACTGTCTTTACCTTTCCTATACCCCCAGAGATACTCTACCGGGCACATAGTGCTCAATAAATGCTTTTTGATTGATTGAAAGATGCGTGAAAAGAGAGGAAGGGGAGGTGAGTGGTGTAGATATCTTTTTCTAACAGACTGGCTCTAAAAGGGAGGCAAGATATATGGTCAGACCAAGCGTGGCCTGGATATTTTATGAACAGAGACACCTATCAACAACCGCTCATTCATAGGCAGCAGGGAGAAAAAGCCTCTAGATAGGGAGAGACTGAAGATTAGAAAGAGGATATAAATACCTGCACAGTCTGCCCATGGAGGTGGGGTCAAGGGGATATGAGCAGGGTTTAATCTGCACAAGGAGAATAGTCATTTCTTCATCAAAGCCTGAAGGACTAAATGTTACAGTGGGATGACAAGAGAATTTGAATATAAGGCAGGTCCTCAGTGAAGAAGGGTGGAGCGGGAGAAATTGGCACTGTAGTAGGTTTGAAGATGGCAATCTTAGAACAGCTGTTGTGGAAAATGTACTAGAGAGGGGCAGCTAGGTGGCACAGTAGATTGAGCACCGGCCCTGAAGTCAGGAGGACCTGAGTTCAAATTCAGCCTCAGACCAACACTTGACACTTATTAGCTGTGTGACTCTGGGCAAGTCACTTAACCCCAACTGCCTAAAAGTTTAAAAAAAATGCACTAGAGAATCTATTACAGAAGCATTTTAAAATTGCCTTGTTGCAGGGAAAGCCCAGTTGAGCTTAGATAACACAGATTTGTAGTGACCCCAGTCTGAAGGGTTGCATGAAAATAGGAGTGGAGGAGGTAGATGGTGGTGGTTTAGGGTTTGTCAAGGCATGAGCAGTGATAGGATAAGGGAGCAAGAGATTCAGTAAGAGGACAGTGTAAAGTAGACCTGGCTAACCTCAGGGTCAAAATTCGGAAGGGAAGAAAGTGAAGCCAGTGCAAGGTGGACTGCCTAAGAGGGAAGGTCCTAGAAGGGGAAAGAGTAGAAGTAACCATAAGCAAAGGAAGTCGATGCATTCACTGAACATCCGCCAATGAGCACCATCTGGTGGCCACTCACCCAAAGTGCATCTATAGTGTATAGGGTAGTCAGGGAGCGCATGGTGTACCTCTGGTGGGAGGGCTTGCCAAGCCCTTTGCAAGGCTGCTGATGCACCTTTGGTGTCCACTTGTCATCTGGCTCTCACTTGTGGCTCCAAGTAGCTGTAGCATGTGCAGCGGTCACACCCAGATAAGACCATGTAGGCCGATGGGCCAAACCAGTTGGTAAGTTAGGGGGATGTCTACCAAAAGTCTACCCCCTAACTTACCAACTGGTTGATGTGAAGACTTCTCCCGGCAGAATGGGAGGATGAGAACAATTTTGTTGCAATGGCCATGAAAGTGGCTTGGTCAGACATAGGAGATGCCGAGGTCATCTATTACATCCCAGGCCATCGCTAAATTGTCTTACCTACTGTCTTGCCAGTGGATACCGATGACTCTGGAAGAGAGAGTGAGGCTAAACCACCCTACACAACTCTGCCCCACTTAAATTCGTGCCAACATCATGATGTTATTGGTCTTCTTCTGCATGAAGGACATAGTGACTAAAAGGAATGTTAAGTTTTCAAGGACTTAACCTTGCAACTCCAAACATGAATAAGGTTGTAAAACATCATACCCTGCCAGGGACATTTCTAGAGGTAATGTTTCTGTAGTGATTAAAGTTAAAACATTAGTACTGTAGTAGGTATATAAATAAGGGAGATAGTTGGAGGCAGGAGAGCCATCTCAGCAGCTCCACCTCCACTCTCCCCAAATCAAACCATGTAGATCAGTAATGCAAAACTTGAATAGAAAACAGGGACCCTGCAGCCTGCATATTGACTAGCTTTACCTTTTAATGCTATGTTTCATTGCATTTTTATTTTGTTAAATATTCCCCAGTCACATTTTAATCTGGTTCAGGCTGGAATGTGGTGGGCCACATGTGACCCGTCTGGCTGAGTCTGACACCTCCAATGCCAACAACAGTCTCTTTTGTCTGTGTGTGCCCATATTCAGTAATTATCAAGCCCTAGGGATGTACATTGTCGCTGACCATGACTCTGAGTCAGCCTAAGTCACTTCCTCTTCCACTGACCCAGAGTACCAGGAATTTTCTAGGTCTTCCCAGGAAGCTCCCATCCCCCAATTTCTAGAAACCAAAGGCTTCACCAGACATTTAGTCATTGTTGTAAGGATACCAAATAAATATTTAGGCTAGAAGTCTGAGTGGAATCTTTGGTCTAAAGAGGTCTGGAGGGGAAAGATACACTCTGACTTCCCTTCCTGGGAATTGGGCCTAAGACACTAAGCCACAGATGTTGTTACTTCCCCCAGTGACCCCCCACAATAAGTAGAAAAAGGAGATACCACCTGGGATCAATTTCGGATATCTTAAGGTGGCTAGGACATCTTGGGCAGCCTGAGACCCAAGTCTTGCTATTTTTGCCTTCTGTTGTAATTGGAATCCATGCCTCTCCTCAATTTCTTCTCCATTCTTCCAGGCCCTGAATGTGGCACCTGAGGCAAAAATGGCAAGCTAAATCGTTAATCCCTTCCTTCTAACCACTAGGAACTCCCCCTAATTTGGATGAGAATTTGCATAATTCAATTTTAAAATTGTTCCATGGCCCAGACTTTGTTATGACTCCTCTGTTATAAGGAGGAAGAGAAAGTTGGTTTTTAAAGTGAATTGTCAGTCCTTCCTTCCCCACCCCATGTTAGGACAGGGGCAGGAGAGGAAGATGTCACATACCAGTGTCTGCTTTGTCATCTCCTGATAACTTCCTGACCACCCCTTCCATTGCCCATATGTAAGGCTGCTATGTTATCACAAACAGAAAACAGATGGTTGCTATGGGCACCTCTTTTTGTTTTTTAACATGCCAAAATTAGCTTATTTTCAGGCTGGCTGGTGCAGATGAAGCTGCAGTCATTGCCAGAATGATCTCTCTTCCCCTGGCTGTGCTCTAGCAACATTAGTTAGTTACTCATCTCTTTTCCCTGCCTTCTTTAGGCTTGTACCTGTACTCCTTGGTCCTCTAGTGACACCCACACTGCCCTCAATTTATTCCCAAACTCCTACTTCTTGTCTAGCTCTCTACCTTCCACTTCAATCTAGGTTGCTATATCTCGTTCTCCAGTTTTGGCACCCCTAGGAGCCACATTCCAGGCTGAACGCTTAGAAAACCTCAATGCAGTTTATTTCTGGAAAGGGCTATTTCTGTGGTGCCCTTTGTCCCAAGAGAAAGTGGGAGGGGCAGAGGAGTAGGTTATCTCTTCAGGGCTTTAGCCTGAAAGTTTAGTTGTTCTGGGTGAGAGGTCAGAATCGGTATCAGGGAAAGGGAGGGATCTCCTCTGTTCTATAAGTGGGAAACAAAGTCCAATAGGACAGAGCCCACTGCTAGACACAGAATCACCCTCCTTGGATGAGAGGGGAAGATGAGGAAAGAGCCATACTGCCTTGAACCTTTGCTCAGGAAACACAAGTGTTCCCTGTGCTATCTCTGCCTTTTCCAAAATACAGACCTGAAGTGAAAGTGGAAACAAGAGTGCTGTGCTGGAATTCTGAGTATGGAATCCTGGGTTTGACTTCTGAAGAGTTGTTTTGTTCTTGGTTTTTGGTTTTTTTTGGTAGAGCATGAATTTTTACTCTTTTTATTATTTTTTTTCAAATTAAGCAAGCATTTTTTTCTGTTCTTACTTACCCTCCCCAACAACGAAAGAAAAAGATAACCTTCAATATGCCTAGCTGAACAGAACAGATTCCCACATCGGCCGTGTCCAAAAGCGAGTGCCTCATTCTGTATTTTAAGTCTGTCGCCTCTCTGTTAGGAGGTGGGCAGTGTGCTTTGTCTTTGATCCTCTGGGATCCAGGTCTGTCACTGCCTCTTCTACCAAAATCTAAAGTTTTTTCATGTCGTTTTCCTTTATTAAGTTCTCATTGCACCAATTTTTCTTCTGGTTCTTCTCACTTCACTGTCTGTCATTTCACAGGAGTCTTCCCAGAGAAATTTCTAAAATCTCAATTTCATCACTTCTTATGGTGCAGTAATATTCCATTACATTCATATGCCAAAATTGTAATAGATTTTATTTTTTCAAATAACAAAAGTTCACTTTCTCTCCCTCCTACATCTCATTGGAAAAAAACAAAAGATAAAGCTCGACAAAAATATGTACCATAATTTATTCAGTCATTACTCTTTAGTTTTCAATTCTCTGTTGCTATAAATGTTTGTATGTATAAGTCCCTTTCCTCTTTCTTTGATCTCTTTTGGGTACAGACATAGTAGATGTATGAATGGGTCAAAGGGTATGCACAGTTTAGTAACCTGTGGGCTATAGTTTCAAATTGCTTTCCAGAATGGCTGGACCATTACACAGCTCCACCCACACACAGTGCATTAATGTACCTCCATATTGGTGATTTTCCTATTTTGTCAACTGACAATCTGATGGATGTGAGGTAGCACTTCAGAGTTGCTTTAATTTATATTTCTCTAATTATTGGTGATTTGGAACATTTTAAAAATATGGCTATTGATAGCTTTCCTTTGAAAACTGTCTGTCCATAACCTTTGAGCATTTATCAGTTGGTGAATGACTCTTGAATTTTAATCATTTCCTTATATATCTTGAATGTGAAATTTTTATCAGAGAAACTTGTTGCAAAGATTTTTCACTAGTTACTTAGTTTCTCTCCTAATTTTAGCTGCATTGATTTTGTTGGTGCAAAAATTTCTTAACTTTATAGAAATTGTCCATTTTATCATCTCTGACTCTCTGGACATGGTCACAAATTCTTCTCATATCCAAAGATTTGAAAGGCAATTTCTTCCTTGCTCTTCTGATTTGCTAATCATATCAACTTTTATGTCTCAGTAATATATCCACTTGAAGTTTATACTGAAATGTTGATCTTTACCTAATTTCTGTCAGACAGCATTCCAATTTTCCTGGTAGGTTTTGTCACATAAGTAAGTCCTTACCCTCAGTGACTGGGGTTGTTGGGTTTATCAAATACTATGCTACTGGCATTCATTTGTTTCTATGTGTCATGTAAGAAATCTCTTCCACTGATAGATCTATTTTTTTTTAACCAGTACCAAATTATTTTGATTACTGCTTTGTAGTATAGTTTAAGATCTGGTGTTGCTAGGTCCCCTTTTTTTCCATTTTTAAAAAATTACTTCCCTTTAGATTCTTTTTATTCCTCCAGATGAATTTTATTACTTTTTCTAGATGAGCTTTCACTCCTAAATCCAAGCAGGGTCAAGATGGCCCCAGTCTAGCACTGTCCTCTTCTTCAGAAATATGCTTGATTTCCTCAGCTGAAGTCCTACCCTGGGTCCAACTGCTTGACAGGAACAAATATGTACACTCTCTGTATTTCTTGCCCTTGCACCAGAGGAAGATCAGTTAAGGCATTTTTCCTTCTTAGGTTCTAGGGACTAGCCCTAGAAATTGGATTGACCGAGACTAACCCCAGATGGAAGGCAAGATCAGACTAAAGTGTAAGTGAGGCATACTCAACTATAATCAACATGGGTCTTCCCTCCAGAAATACAGATTGCAACCTAGCCATACTTGCACAACATTTGTGATTCTTGTTCATGTGTTTCCATAAGTTTGCCACAGGGGTGCATCCAGTATACTGATGGCCTTCCTTGTGTGATGGGTGTAATTAGGGGATTTCCCCCCATCCCTACTGGCTCTGGCTAAGATATGCTGTTTAGAGCATCTCCAGGAGTCTGGAGCTGGGACCCTTCTGGAGACACATTTACTCTTGTCCTTTGATATGTGCAACAAGAGGTTTCTGATTCAAGATTACATGTTGCTGTCCCCCACACCTTGGAGTGGGCATTAGGGGGTGTATCAGAGGATACTGGCCACTGAGCCAGGAAGAGCCATCCACTTAGGAGACCTTAAAAGGAGCAACTGCCCTCTGGCATATCTCTTTCTCCAAATGTGGGGCACATAACTCTTCCTTCCCTGGAATTTCCCTCTGAGGTGTTGGATGGGTCAGTATTGATCCCTTACCCTGGCAGAAATGGCCATCGTTCCCATGCATCTACTAGAGTAGGGGCTCACCCAGATGAGCCTTAATTGAGATATCAAGGCCCTGGTTACCTCTTCTGCTTTGTATTTCTTTACCTGAGTCTAAGTGAACAAAGTTGTCCTCAGACAACGTGATTCATAGTCTTGACAGCAACCTCGTTAGACTAAGAGGTTGGTCAGTGCTAGCTGCACTATAGAAAGTACCTCCTAGAGTTACCACAGTGATTTCTTGAAGAAGAGAGCCACCGAGAAGTCTGGACAGCTCCTTCAAAGTCCCTATCTTCTGGTAAACCAGGCCAGGGGTTGAGTTTATCCTCCTGTCTGGGGAACAGCCATACATGGAACTCAGCAGATATCTCTGCTTGTGCATGCTGAATCATGCTTTGTCTTGACATCACAAGCAGACTGGACACTGTCTAGTGGCTTAACACCTCACCAGCCCATTTTCTTTTTTGAATATATCTTTTGTTTTTTTAAAACATCCTTTACTACTCTTCCATAATTCCCTATAATGTGTTATATCCTACTCAAACCCATTATGTGCCTTTCTGTTGCCCAGGACACTTGTTTTCAGCCAATTCTCTGGAGACTAGTGTTCTGTGTCTTAAAGCAATACAATAACAATGAAAGAAAACACTTATTTTAAAAATAGACATATGCTCACCAATAGTTCTAGTTCAGTTAGTTTTAGTTTGCCATTAGTTTTAGTTGTCCTGGAGAAAATAATCTATCGTAAAATATTTTGCAAACTTTAAATCACTAGGTAAATGTGAGTTATTATTATTTACAGAGGGTGTTTAAGAAAATATGCTGATGAATAAGCTCTGTTGATTGGCCATTCAGCTATATATCATTAACTGAATAAGAGGTATTCTTCACCCATGAAGTTTTTCCTGCATGAGGTTAGGCCAAACTCTTTTGAATGGTTATGGACCCCATCATGGAAGCTCTTCATTGTTCCAGAGGCTGATGCAGTCAGTAAAATGTCATCCCCAGAAGGGAATATCTGAAGAGTCTTACCATCTTTAGGTTTACAAAGCACTTTTACTTATACTACCTAATCTGATCTTCACAATAAGCTTGTGAAGTAGATGCTATTCTGATTCTCATTTTACAGTTGAGAAAACAGATTCCAAGAGGTTGAGTGATTTTTCCAGGGTCACACAGTAAGTGTCTGAAGCAGGATTCAAACCAGGTCATCCTGACTGCTGCTCACCATCTTCTACATCATATCAATCCTCAAAAGACAATGAATTGGGCACAGAATTGGAGTAAAGCAGGTGAGCTATGGGTCATTGAACAAAGCAGAGTCACTGAACAAGCTTATCTCTGTTATATATTTCAGGGAATATTATATAATTTTAGCCTATGCAAGAAAACTATCTTGTTGGTAGAAAGCCTTCAAGGACATGTTTGCTCTAAAGAATCAGTTTTTTTTTAAACTGTCAGCAAACAAGTAC